CCATAAACCACCACCCAAGTTGGGCAGTAGACCATTATCAACATGCCAGAAGCTCCCTGGGCCCCTTTCCAGAGGTAAACACTAACGTGACTTGGAGGTCAGCATTCCCTTTTTACCTCTCATATGATAATACTACATTGCTTTGACTCTCATATATGGTAACATGTTGGTTTTGTCTATGAACTTGAGTCATTGCATCATACAGGGTGTAATCTTTTGTTTGGCTCTTTTTTTTCAACATCATTTCTATGTGATGCACCCATATTGTTTCATGTCATTATAAATTTGTCATTCCCTCCATACAGTATCCCATTCCATGAATATATCATAATTTATATACTGCATTTAATTTCTAATTAATTTCTTTTTACTTACACCTTTTAAAGTATTCTAGGTTTGAGTCATCACTTATATAAGCTTCCATTGTCTTCTTCCAATTTGTCACTTGTAATTTCACTCTTTATGGTACCTTCTGATCAACATCTATCCTTAATTCAGTGAATGCTTCATCATTTTCATGTACAGTTAATGTATTTGTATCTTGTTGAAGAAAAGCTTTTCTACCTCCGAGTATGCAAAGGTATTCTGCAAAGTTCTTAAAGCTTTTGGCTTTGCCTTCACATTTGTGTTTTAAATCCACCTAGAAATATTTTTGTGTTATGAAGTAGGGATCCAATTTCATTTTTTTCAATATGGATAACCAATTGTTCCATTTACTGAAAGTCCAGCCACTCCCCCAATGGCCTGCAATATACTTCCTTGTTCATCTATTCTTTGTCTACCTATGAATGGGTCTGCTTCTGAGATCACTAGTCTTTCATGGACCTGCAATGATATCCTTAAAGTATGGGTGTCCTGGCTAGTGTTGGCACTTGTGGATAAATTTAAGAATTAACTTTCCACGACCTACACACAAGCAAAAATCTATTGAGGGACAGATGTTTGATGAAGTAGTTAAGTTGTTGCTTAGAATGCCTGCATCCCAGGACTGGCACTGTGGTGTAGAAGATTGAGACTCCACCTGCAGTGCTGGCATCCCATATGGGCACCAGTTCAAGTCCTGACTGCTCCTCTTCTAATCTAGCTCCCTGCTAATGTGCCTGGGAAAGCAGTGGAAGATGGTCCAAGTGCTTGGTCCCCTGCCACCCAGTGGGAGACCTGGAAGAAGCTCCTGGTTTCAGCCTGGCCCAGCCCCAGCCACTGTGGCCATTTGGGGAATGAACCAGAGGATAGAAGACTTCTCTTTCTTTCTCTCTCTCTCCCCTCTTGTATTTCTTTAGTGCCTTTCAAATAAAAAGATATAAAAAAAACGCATCCCATAACGGAGTGTCTGGTTCAAATCCTGGCTACTCTGCCTTCATGCATCCTGGGAGGCAGCAGATGATGGCTGTCCCTGTCATCCTGGTGTGAGAAGCATATTGAGTTCTAGGCTCCTGGCTTCAACCTGGCCCATCCCTGGCTACTGCAGGCATTTGAGGAGTGAATCAGTAAATTGAAGATTCTATCTCTCCTTTCAAATTAAAAAAAAATCTAAAAAAAAAGTCTTTCAAAACAAATTTCTATATCTTTTCCAAAAATTTATTGCCCTCTCCTGTTACTTTCTAAGTAGTTCATAACTGGTATTTTTATTAAAATTGTCTATTTGATGTTGGTATATAAAAACAATATATTTTCAAATATAGCTTTTGTATCCAGAAGTTTTCCTAACTTCTTAGAGATTCTACTAATTTACTGGTGGATTTTTTTTGGGATTGTAAACACACACAGCGAGGCCGGTGCTGTGGTGTAGCAGGTACAATTACCACCTGCAGTGCCAGCATCCCATATGGGTACCAGTTCAAAACCTGGCTGCTCCACTTCCAACCCAGCTCCCTAATGTGCTTTGGAAAGCAGTAGAAGATGGTTCAAGTGTCTGGGCCCCTGTACCTGCATGGGAGACCCAGAAGTTAACGGCTCCTGGCTTCAGATCAGCCCAGCTCTGGCCATTGCACCCATTTGGGGAGTGAACCAGTGGATGGAAAGTCAGTCAGTGTCTCTCCCTCTCTCATAAATCTTATAAAAAAAAAAACTCAGTGGATTTTTAAAAACATAAATACAGCAGTAGCATCTACAAAAAATGACAATTCTCTTTACTTCCAATCTTTAAATATTTTCTTTCTTTCCCTTGCCTAACTGTGCTGGCTAGGATACCCAGGACAATGCAGAGTAGAAATGGTGATAGCAGATGTCCTTGCCATGTCCCCAATGTCAAAGTTCTTAACATTTCCACTTTTGAGTATGTGGCTCATGGTAAATCTGTATAGACACCCTTTACGCTAAGAAAGGTCATTTCACTAGCTTGCTAAGATTAAAATCACAAGTAGATGCTGAATCTTGTCTATCTCTTTCACTATAGCTATCAAGATGACTGTGTTGCCTCTCCTGTAATCTGCCAATGAGGCCAATTATGTTGAGTTCAAATATTAAAATACATTGCATTTTTGCGAGAATCCAACTTGGTCATATTATACTTTTTTCATACATTGAACTTGGGCAGCTATCATTTGGCTTGGAATGTTTGCATCTATGGGGTTGTCTTTTGTTTTGCTGCATCTATGTTCTTGGAATTGTTCTGTAGCCTTCTTTTCCAATTTGTCACATTTTAGTATCAAGGTTTTATCAGCTCCAGAAAATGAATTGGGAATGCTCACTCTTCTTCTCCACCCTGGAATGGCTCTTGTAAAATTGGAATTATTTCTTGGCTGTTTCACCAGCAAAGGCTGTCTGAGCCAGAGTTTCTGTGTGGGGTGACTTTGGGAGAACTCTGTTCTCTTAATAGTTACAGCATGACTCAAGTTCTCCATTGCTTTTTCCAGACAGTTCTGTGTATACAGTAATGTGTCCATTTTATCTAGTTTTTCCAACCTACCTGGGATAAAGTTGCCTTTTTACACAATGATCATATCATCACACCAAGGGAAGGCCATAGACACATGTCTGGATGTTGACTTTTTTGACAGTCTTAATCAGAAAGACAGGCTCCCGTGGGTGTGTGGAATTTGTCTGCACTCGCCATTTTCCACTTTCAGATCTCTGTAATGATCTTCCTTCCGACCATAGCACCCTCTTCTTCCCTTTATTACCTGGTGGATTACTTCTCATTTCTTGACAACTCAGTTCAGACAGGCACCTTATCCCCCATGACTTCCTGAGCCCCTGAACTTGGCTCAGCATCCGTGCTGGGCTCCCACAGCCCACTGGACCCATCACTGTGAAGGCACTAACCACACTGTATTGAAATTCTGTGTCTGGGGCCAGTGCTGTGGCACAGCAGGTAAAGCTGCCGCCTGCAGTGCCGGCATCCCAAATGGGTGCCAGTTTGAGTCCCGGCTACTCCAATTCCGATCGAGCTCTCTGCTGTGGCCTGGGAAAGCAGTAAAGGATGGCCCAAGTCCTTGGGCCCCTGCACCCGTGTGGGAGACCCAGAAGAAGCTCCTGGCTCCTACCTTCGGATTAGCACAGCTCCGGCCATTGTGCCCAGCCAGGGAGTGAACCAGCAGATGGAAGACCTCTCTCTCTTTCTCTGCCTTTCTCTATGTAACTCTTTCAAATAAATAAATAAATCTTTAAAAAGAAATACTGTGTCTGTCAGCCCACTAGCCTATGAGCTCCTCCCTCTGTGTCCTCAGAGCAGAACGGAGATGGTTCATCAACATTCAAGCTGTACTGAGCTTGTCCCCACTCAATGACCAACTAAGATCTCTAGCCATGTCTCTATTTCCCCATGGATATTTCTCTGTTCCTTCATCGGTTTCATTCAATGGGTATTTATTGAGTACCTACTATGTGCTGGGCACGGTTCTAGAAGAGTGAGCAATGAGGAAGGAGGAAAAACTAGGACAGTATGGTGACCTAGAAACCCAAGTGAAGAAATGGTTTCAAGGTAGAGATGATCAACTGTGTCAAGTGTTGCCAAGAGACCAATTAAGACAATGCCAGAAGGGCAGGCATTTGGCTTAGTGGTTAAGATGCCCACACACACACACCCCACAAAGAAGTACCTGGGTTCAATACCTGCCTACAGCTCCTGACTCCTGCTATCACACAGCCTGGGGATGGTAGTGATGACTCAAGTATTAGGTCCTGGCCATCCACATGAGAGACCTGGATTCTGGATTGCACTCCGAGCTCCTGCTCAAATAAATTTTTAACAAATGTTTTTCAGATGAGGTCTGAGCCTTAACTGTGGCTCTAACGACATGAGTTATCATCAGAGGCATCAGCAGTTTTGCTGAAATGGTTGGGCAACAATTCTGATCAGGGCTATTTCAGAAAAGCACTGAGGCAATGGAGGAGAAGGGAGGAAGTGAGGGAAGCTGGAATACATGCCACTTGCAGGAAGTTTTGCTGTAAATGGAAGTAAATAAATATATGGTGTCTTCTTTGGCTATGCAAGTTTTTTATTTGCATGCAGTAAATCCATCTATTCTCTCTTTCCAAGCTTCTGGGTATCTCGTTGTAAGTAGAAATGTGATCACTGCGGGCAGCAACTCAGGCAGGAATTTTTCACAGTACAGTAATCCCTCTGTCCTTTCTGAGGCCTTTCCTGTCCTGCAGACTGAAGGGGCTCTCTGCTGGTGTCAAAGGCTGTTTTTCAGCAACCTCAAAACCTTGTGATTGATTCACAGCCCATGTCCCCACATCCACAACCATGACTGCCACCAAACCCTCAGGTGGCCCGCCGCTCTTCCTCCCTGGCTCCCACCACCATCATCCATTTATACAGAAGCAGGCTCCCACAGGCACAATGTAAAAAGACCAAAGGACCACAATGTATTAGGACCGGGAGGTGAAGAGATACAGATCCCCGAGGACATATTGAAGCAGCAACAGCAGCAGCAGCAGCAAGCGTGACCACGCCCATTCCCCCCTCCCCCTCCCGCCCACCATGGTCCTCCCCCAGCACATGACCACCCTGCACACTCAGGCCCAACAGGAGACCAATCGCACAGCAACACACATCATTTCTCATAGAGCTCTATTGTGGCATATAATAATAGGTACTCTATATAAATTAAATTAAAAATAAAGCTCCAGCAGCTTGCACAGGTTGGCTGTTAATAAATATATCTCTGGGTAATTGTGCCCCAAGACCAGCTCACGACCACTCTTCCCTCGTCCAGAGAATTATACAAAAATAAATACAGGCTCAGGGGATGGGGTGAGGGGTGGGGTGGGGGGAGGGGGACATGCCCAGTTCCATTCTAGAAATTCTCACTCACATCATCCACCGGCCCCAGGTTCTTCTCCATCGGTATCTGTATCATATCGCTGCAGGAGCCCACACCAGGTGGAGAGCTCAGGAGTGGGGCGGGAAGGCCTCTCCAGTCAAGCATTCTCAGAAGCAAAGGGCCGAGGTCCACTTACTGCACAGGCCACAGGTCCCATCTCATCCCTCTGGGGTGGTGTAGGGGCTGCCCCTCCCCCAGAACCCAGATAGGAGGGGGGACACCTGTTATTGCTGTTCCCACATGCAGCCCCTACGAGAACCAGGCCAGAGAGAGGCACAGTGCAAGCACCAGGAGGGACACGCCACTGTTCAGAGCCACAGGGACCACCACCAGTCCGGCCAGGACCCCCAGAGTCTGGGTCAAGGGCCCCCGGAGCTGGGGAGGCACTGCACACACACTCTCTGCAGGGGCTGCCAGGGTAGGGGACCTCTCTGGGGGCTCCAGGCTCAGGCCTGTACCCTCTTCATTCTGGGAGCTTCCATGAGGCCTGGCCACATTAGAATAACAGACTTCAGCCCCCGAGGGCTCGAGGGGGCTGGGATTTTGCCCCTGCAGAAGGGCCAGAGCAGCATGCTCCCTGCCAGGTAAAGAAACCAAGCTGCTTGCCCACCCAGTGGTAACCTCCATGCGGGCCCAGGTCCCAGCTTCCCCTGGGGACCGGGTCACCCCAGCTATCACCCTGTCAGTGCACAAAGAGTCAGTGTCCTTGCCCCGCCCGTTCTCTGCCTCCCCAGTGAACTGACCCTCTGTACCCAGAACCACGGAGCTGTCACACGCTGAGCCATCCGCCCAGGGGAGCCACACATCTCCCATGGCAGCTACCACAGAACGGGCCCCCGAGACGATTTCTGGAGGCGATTCCTTGGGGCTGTCCCCTTCGGGGCTGGTGGGCGTCAGGGCAAGCCCCTCGTCGCCCTCTCCCTCCTCATCGGGGTCCTCAGTGTCCTTGATGAGCTCCACGCCACGCCCCAGGCGGGCATAGTGCAACGTGATCTCCTCGGCCAGGGCACTGTTCAGGGCCCGCTCCGGGCCAGGCCACTTCAAGATCAGGTCACGGTCTGTGAGGATGCCCAGGGGATGGCTGGGAGACATGCCCCCATCCGTGGGGCCCTCCCCACCGCCTCCTGCCCCACCTGCAGCCACAGCAGCCCGCAGGCGGCTCAGGTGGGACAGGTAAAGCTGCTCCAGCTCCTGGTCGATGGTGTCCTCGCCAAGCAGCTCTTCCAACCCACTCACAACCTCCAGCCCCCCGGGGGGCTCATCCACAACAGCCTCCACCGTGGGGTCCTTTCGACCCGCTCCATTTTCACTTGATCCTTCCCATGTGGCTGCCACCTGTCGCGGGCTGGGCTCCAGGAAAGGCCCGGTGGCCCCCTCACTTGCATCAGGCCCTGAGGCCTGGTCCTTGGGGGAGCCGCTCAGGCCACAGAGAAGGGAGGCAGGGGGGATCCTGATGGCTGGTGCCTGGGGGACCTCTGTAAAAGCCACAGGTGGACTGCTCCTGGGGACATCACCTTGTTCTGAGAGGCTGCCGGCCATGGTGACTTCAGAAACCTGGAGCCATGGGGTCAGGGGAGAGAAAAGGAAAAGAATGAAGTAGAGGAGAGGAGGGAATGAGCACAGACAAGAAGAACTGGTGAGAGACCGTACCCAGCCCCACAGGGGTTGCCAGAGAACGCCTTAGAGAGTCCCCTGGCATTCTCTGAATTCCAGTGAGTCAGACGTCTACATTAGGACAAAATTAAAGAAAAGGGGGGGGGGGGGGGCTTCCTGCAGATGATAAAGCTGAGGAATTCAACAGATGTCAATACAAGGGTACTACAAAAAAATGTGTGTGGAAAACAAAGAAAGATGAGTTCAGGGGCAGGTGCTTGGCCTAGCTATCAGAGTACCTGGGTTCAAGTCCCAGCTCCACTCCTGACTCCAGCTTCCTGCTAATGTGCACCCTGGGAGGCACTGGTGATGGCTCAAGTACTTGGGTCCCTGCCACCCATGTGGAAGACCTGGACTGAGTTCCCAGCTTCTGGTTCAGGCCAGACCAGGACCTTTTCAGGTATCTGGGGAGTGAACCAGCAGATGGGAGCATGTTCTCTTGTTCATTCTCTCTCTCTCTCTCTGTCTCTCTGTCTCTGTCTCAAAATAAATACATAAGCAGGTAAGTGCAATGGATTGAAACTCATCAAATGTGTCTAGAACACCATGCTCATAATGACACAAAACCAAAAACTCCTTTATTTTGTCTCCTTTGGTAAAGCTCATTGTTTTCCTGATTAATAAAAGGGGAGGAGCCAGTGCTGTGGCATAGCTGGTAAAGCCGCCACCTGCAATGCTGACATCCCATGTGGGCACTGGTTCGAGATCCGGCTGCTCCACATCCGATACAACTCTGTGCTGTGTCCTGGGAAAGCACTGGAAGATGGCCCAAGTGCTTGGGCCCCTAAACCCACATGGGAGACCTGGAAGAAGCTCCTGGCTCCTGGATTCAGATCAGCCCAGCTGTGGCCGTTGCAGCCAACTGGGGAGTGAACCAGCAGATGAAAGATTTCTTTCTCTCTCTCTGCCTCTCTGTAACTCTGCCTCTCAAATAAATAAATAAATCTTTAAATTTTTTTTAAATAAAAGGAGAAAAAACTAAATATTCACACTGCTTTTCCTATATAGACTCAAAGCAGCTCAACAGTTGATATGAGACAGTTTTCCTTTAGAGAAAAATTCCAGCTAATAAAGGAAGTGGAGATAACAGAATTAAGTAGAGTCAACGCTATTCACATTGAGTGAATAATAAATTAAATGTAATAAGTGAATGAAATCAATGGTTTCATAAGTTAAAGACTAAATTAACTAAATGGGATTAATAGACTAATAAAAAGAGAATAGGAAACATCCACCAGCATGCTGTCAGCCAAATATGGACAAGGGAAACTCTACAGGACAAACACGATTCCTTCAATAAACACCAGCAAATGTATGGTGTCATCAATCTTGATGGGCTCCTGAGACACTTCTGACCGGAGATGGAACACTGACCAAACACTTGATAGCACTAAGAAATGACTGTCGGTTTTCGAAGGGTGTGGGAATAAAAAGGTTTTGTTTTGTTTTGTTTTGTTTTCCTAAGAGTTCTTAGCAAACAGAAGGATTTATGAATGGGATACTGTCTGGATTAGTTTTTCCAAACTAATTCCCTAGGGCACATGGAGGTGGCATGGAGGTAAGAGAGTGGAATGGAGGTGTGCTGGTATTTGTTGAAACTCGCTGATGGTATACGTGGCTTCTTGATCCTCTACTGGTCTTTTTCCTTTTACACGTTTGAAAATGTCCGTAACACAAAGGTAAAACACACATACACCCAGTATCTGCAGACGCACTCTCCTTCCCCTGCCACTCATGCTGTCCCTGATCTCCTACCCCCAGGCCCCTTGCTTCTGGCCTCATTCCCATGGTCTGTCTTCCAGCACAGCAACAGAGGGAGCAGGTTAGAACAGAAACCAGGATCATGTCCCTCCCCTGCTCAGGACTCCTCTGTGGTCACACACACACACACACACACACACACACTCTCTTAGAGCGAAAGCCAGAGCCTCCCCTGTAGTTTGTCACCCCCTCTGTCCCTTGCCACCTCCCCAGCCTCCACATTGTTCCCCCACACACATTAACCACGAACTTCACACTTGCCCAGGGTGCTGCCCGCCTAGGCATCCACGTGACTCCCTCTCTCACCTCCTTGGCATTTTTATTCACAAACTACTGATCTCCAAGGCTTTCCCCTTCTCTGCTCCCTCCCATCCCTGTTTCTCCTTAGCATTTCTCATCATCTAAAATAACATATATCTCACCCCAGTGACACACAAGCCCTCATAAAGACAGCTTTTCTGTGTGTGCTGTCTCCTTGGGGTCTCACAGAGCAAGCTCTCCCAAAGCTCCCTACCAAGGGAGAGGTCTCCTAGCCCCAGGGGAATAACTGCCTTCTCCCTCTCCCCATCAGGTTCAGATTTAGGGGATGGCTCTCCAACGTAGGGTGGACCCACAGCTACTTGGCCCTACCCCCACCCAGGTCCAGCTGTGCTCATACTGTGAGCCTCCCATCAGGCTGGGCCCCCTGGGGCTGCCAGGCCCCGCTTACCTGCAGTGTCATCTGGGGCCATGGACGGAGAGGGGTGGGAGCCACCAGAGGGCCCACTGACTCCTGAACATCAGGGCACTCTGCTGGAGAGAAGAGAAGTGTTGGGCAAGACAGACATACAAGCAGTCCTGACTGTGTGCAGAGTATCTGCCATCCCAGCCCCTTTGGCAGGGTTGCCTCTGAAGCTTTCCAGGATAGCCTAAGCCGGGCGCGAAGTGGGGCTCTTTTTTTCTTTCTCTCTCTCTCTCTTTTTTTTTTTATAGAAAGAAAATGGGGCAAGAAAAAATGGCGGATAAGGGCTCAGTCGCCAAGCTCGCCAGCTGCTTACCCACAGCAGGGGCGTTATCATCCAGGCTCTTCATCCTCAGCTCTTCCTCAACAGGCCTGTGGGGCAGAGAGAGTACATGGGCTGCCTTGCCCATCAAATTCCTACACGGTCATCGGAAAGTTATGACATACGGGAAAGTATAAAGGGGGGGGGGGGGACTACACATCAGCCGGAAACAACCGCTGCGACCTTTTTGGCAAAATTCCTTGCAGACATCCTCTGAAAGCATTTTAGATCCTACAGACATCATTTCACAGCTGGCTTTGCCCATGGAACAGTAACGAGGCATCAGGATGGACTTTCGCACACAGTGAAAAACGGTCGCTCCCTACGCAACAGTACACGCACTCGTTGCCACTTAGGTAACCATTCTCTCCCTACTGAGCAGCTAAGTTGCTGCCCTCATTTTGCTGCCACAGAACAAACTTCAGCACTCAGCACTGGGCCTAGTTTTGGCAACAGCTGGGGTCATTTCTGTAGGGGAAACTCCTGGCCGTGGAAGAAGCTATCTATTTGGAGCAAGGGCAGGTGAAGACCACGCCCGCGGGCAGCAGCCGCAGCTCGGAGGAAAGAAAGCAAACAGAATGAGAAGGCGGGGCCTACATCCGCCCTCCCCCCACCCCCACGTCAGCCTGGCAGCTCACTGTACCTCCTCGCCTGTAACACGGAGCATGGAGGAGCCAGGACGTGCACGCCAAGGTTGGGGGAAGGGGTGAGGACAGATGGCCAGATGTCAGGGCCTGTCACATAGCAGGGCCTAAAGCAACAGAAGTGCTCCCTGGTCTTGCTCCTGCTTCGCCAGGTGAGTGAAATCCCTAAGTGGCAGAAGCCCAGTGTATCCCAGCAAGATCCTGCCAGGGGTGGGCTCTCACCAAGGAAGCACCGCTGTCCTCCTTCCCACAACTTGGCATCCGAGGTCTACAGCAAGGGAAGCACTAAGATGTGGAACTGACGCAAGGCCACTTCCGGAGGGGCAGTGTGACAACGCTGACATTTCTGCAAACGCTTGAAACATTTTGAAAACACCTAACCAACTGCCTTCACGGAAACAGAATGTCACTAGCCGACCCAGAAATAGTCCTTACTATGGCATTAGGGACTGTTCTAAGTACTCCTCCTATTCGTGTATCAATTTCATCCTTATAACCGCCCCCCCCACCCCACCCCATGAGGTAGGTCCTTTCAATCTTCTGAAGCAAGCAGTGCTATTATCCCCATTCTACAGACGGTGAAATGGAGGCTGAGCAAATGGCTCAAAGTCACGTAGCTGAGAGCAAAACTCAGACCCTTCTTGGACAAGAGACACCAGGGTCTTACCCAAAACCATCTCCAATCCTTCCTGGAAGTAGACAGAGGGGGCATCAACAATAGACACGATCCCTCGCTCCCACCTTCATGCAGGTGTTTCTCTGCACCGGCCTTTCACCCATGCATTCAGTCCCAGTCTCCCGACCTCCACAGACACATGGCTCAGAGACCCCAAGGCACAGAGCGGCTGTGATAACTGCTTTTTATCGGTAATCTCAGAGGCGGCTTGAACCATGCACACAGATCCAAAGTCTGAAAGCACTGCAGGGGCCAGTTTGCCTTCCTCCATGGTGTAGGGCTCACACATCCTGCCAGAGGCCTTTTCCTCAGATACCACAAGGCCTGGGGTGGATGAGTCTGGGAACCCAGCCACCAGCTCCCACATGGGCAAGAAAGGGTGACACAGAGCAAACCAGCTTGGTCCTAGCACCAGTTTCCTCCATGAGTCTAAATCCAGGTCTTTGGAATTTGAGGCTCCACATGATTTCTGCCCAGCTGTGCTTCTTTCGCTGGCATAAGCCCTTCATTACAGAAAACGTCATCTTCCTCTGGTCTTCTAAACCAAGAGCCACAGACAGACAGAAAGCCAGCCCTCCTTCCCATAGGCAAGTCTTCCCTTGTCATCTTGCCCAGTCCTGACATGCAGGACACCAGGCTTTCGCAAGCCATGACAGAGTGACAGATAGCAGAGAGAAAAGGGAAGGACTCAGCCAGCCAGCCAGCCAGCCAGCAGGAAAGGGAGTCTAAAGTTCAGCTGAAGGAAGAAGAGGCAGGAGGAAAAAAGAAAAATAAATACAAAATAAATCCTTCAGAAATCCCCCAAAGCACCTCAACCACAGCCAAGGGAGGCACAGAGAGAGGGAATGCTCAAAGATCAGGACAGGGTCGGCACTGTGCCATAGCAGGTGAAGCCGCCACCTGCAGTGTCGGCATCCTATATGGGCATCGGTTCAAGTTCCAGCTGTTCCTCTTCCGATCCAGCTCTCTGCTATGGCCTGGGAAAGCAGCAGCAGATGACCCAAGTCCATGTGGGAGACCTGGAAGAAGCTCCTGGCTTCAGATCAGCCCAGCCAGAGGAATTGTGGCCATTTGGGGACTGAACCAGCAGATGGAAGACCCCTCCCGCCCGCCCTCCCTCCCTCTCTCTCTCTCTCTCTCTGCCTCTCTGTAACTCTGCCTTTCAAATAAATAAATAAATCTTTAAAAAAAAATCAGGTCAAGAAACTCAGCCAATCTCAAGATCTGTGAAGTCAATAGAGGCACAGGTGGCTCTCCCCACCACCAAATGCAGAGAAATGAAAGGAGGCACAAACATTTAGCATTTGCCTCCTCCAACATGGCCCTTCTTATTCATACACCACATCGGTTGCAAACCTTTCCATCTGTCCCTCCCAACAACAACCTCCCTCCCCTCTTTTTTTTTTTTGGCCAGTGCAGGAACTAAGGCTCAAGGAACTGTCTCGACACCCACTGGCCACACACCACACCGGTAACAACATCCAAGGAGGGCTCCACTTTGAAGACAGTATTTTGAAATTGTGGGCTCAGGAAGACAACAAGAACAGCTATTCTGCAATGTCTCCAGCAGCGGAAACTCAGGAGCAGCTAGGCGTTTCATCAAAACCAGGACAGTAAGAGAAATCAGGTGCAAACGCAGACTGAGTCACTGAGCACTAACAGAGAAGAGGGCTTCTTAGAAACACACACACACACACACACACACACACACACGGCGGGAGACTAACAACAAAACTGTACCTACAGTATGCCTGCTCATTTTCAAGAAGGAAACCTGCTCTTCTGGCACCAGTCCCACGAGTGTCACGTGGTATCCCCTCCAGGCCAGCAGGCGGTAGCAGGTCAGGGGCACAGAGGCTTGGGATGGCCTGGCCACATGTCCTGTAGCATGGGAACACAACTCAAGCTATCCAAGGGGCCAGATCTGAGAGCGCCACACCAGTCTCCTTTCCTCCTGGAAACTCAACTGCTGCTGCCCTCAGACAGTATCGGGGGTGGACTGAGAAGGGGAAGATTTTGCAAAGAGGAGCTGTTGGCCCCAGCCTAGGCCAGAATGGAAAGAGGGTTGGCCCCAAGCCGGAGAGGGAGCGAGCAAGCCAAGGGCTGCTAAGCCCAGGATGGAGAAGGCAAGCAGCCTCCCAGAGCAGTCGCATCACTGCCATCCCCACAGCTACCAGAGTCTTCCGTGTGTACCCCATGTGCTCATGTTTTCAAAGAACTTTGCCAGCCCAAAGTGGGTCAGGCACTGCAAACCCAAAGGGAAACTCAGCAACCTGTGGCTCCCATGGAGTCAAGCTGATTTGAGAATGCTGACTCTCCTGCAATACTTGGAACCTCGGTTACCCCAAGCCGTCTGCTCTCCGAATAGAAGAGTGTGAAGGCAGCTGGGAAAGCCTGCACTGAGCTATGTGGGGCACTGCCTTGCCTTCCCCAGCACGGGTGTCAGCCTCAGCTCCGCGACCTGCAAAACACGACAGCAAGTGGAGAGCGAGCAGGTGATGGTGCCCCGGGCCTCTTGCATGGCGCCAACTTCCTCCTTTGACCATGCGCCGCGGTCAGAAGTGCATGTTACGCTCGCTCTAACTCAGCACACATGCTAGTGTAACTGAAAGACGCTTGTTCTCTGCAGGAAACGCTTACCTTGACCGCGCATCGTGCCACACTCTGCTAACCTCCCATGCTGGTGGGGATGTTTTTGAACCTTGGAACCCAGCAAATTGATGATTTCACATCACAAGTAAGGGTCGGGATGTGAAATCTGGAGCTGTGTAGCCTAAGGCAAGTTGCTCAACCTCTCTGCGCCTCAGCTGTAAAGAGGGGATCGCAGTCATAACACCTACCTCAGGGCACTGCCGAGCTGAGGCAATGTTTGAAAAGTCTGTGTAAAGCGTTGAACAAACAGGAATGCCCTTCAAGGTCCCACTGAGGGAAACCAGGGCTCTGGGAAGGAAAGCAAGCTGCCCAGTGCTGGCCAGCTGGTAAGACACATCGCCCAGCCTGGCACAGCCATTCCAAACGAGGGCACAGGGCCCTGGAGTGGGACCATGCAGGCAGACATCCTGGCTGTGCCACTTCCCTAGCACATGGCTTCACCCTCCCATCCATATCCATAACGCCCCTTGCCAGTTCTCTGTGGAGTAAAAGGCGATCACTTTCACATTAAACAGTCACTCTCCAGAAAAAAAAAAAAAAGCACAACGAAGCTCACCCCTGCCCCATCCTGTTTCAACTGCGGTCGTTCTGGCTTCCCCTAAGGCTGCCACCTCAGCTACCATGCGTAGGATCCCCATCCACTGAGTTACAGGTGCACCCTGCGAAACTGAGATCTTACTGTACAGCAGTTCCGGTGACAGCCCCTGGAGACGCAACGGCGAGCAAAGCCCACTAGGAAGCTTATGACTTAAGGTGGAGGAAGACATTAAAAAAAAAATACTCGCACTCATTCTTTCAACAGACATTTATTGCGCATCTGCTAAGTGCCAGGCAGCGGGGCAGGGGCAGGCCTGTGGGAAATAACAGTGGTGAACACAAGCTGAGCAGGTTCCTACCCCTCATGGAGCTTACAGTCTAGCAGGGCAGAGTCATCGGATAGCCCCCTGATGAAGGCCTCGCTGCAGACTCCGGGCAGCGCCTTCAGAGAAGGGAAAAGAATGCCCGAGAACAAGGGGGCCTGGCCCGGAGCACAGGCTCAGAGAGGGCTTAAGGAAGCGTAGAAGGAAACCAAGCAAGGGAAGCGGGGTTGGGGGGAGTGAGGGAGCGAGAGGCTACTCAGGAACACTGGGGAGGGGATGAACACAGCCCCAAACAAGAGTTGGGGGGAATCTTTGGTGTATCAGTCAAGTGGAGACACCAAGGTGGGAGGCAAGAGGCTGAAGGAAAAGAAGGGCCAGAGAATTCGGAGGCGAAGCAGCAGCGTATGGTCCCAAGGCCTGGGAAGAAAGTATCTTAGGTCAGAGTAGTCGACCCATTTCAAGAACCACCAGCGTGAGCCACCTTCAGAATCTGGCCGATGCAGGGGCTGAGAGCAGACAAAGTAAAGTGCCAGCAGAGCTTTAGACATTAAATGGCGGGGGGGAGGGGGCGATTAGGTGCTGGCTAGGGGCAGTGAGGAGAGAAGATGCGCTCAGCTCAGCAGACACAGGACAGGGGACCAGCCCGGGGAAATCAACCACCGGGACCAGGAGAACATCTGCCAGGAGAGGAAAGGGGATGGCTGATGTCCACATGTGGAGCAAATGGCAGCCATCAGGAGCTGGCCGGAGGGGGGAGGGGGAGGGGGAGGAGGAGTCCCCCCCACACACGCCTGGACCACAAGAGAGGGAAATCAGTTTGCAGGCTGGGGAGCTGCAAGTTGTAGGCAGTTCCCTTCTTATGGCTTCTATTTTGTTTTTTGTCTGTTTATTTATTTTTTGGAAGCAGGAGGTTAAAAGTCTGAAGGGAAAGGACATTGCAGAGTCGCATCAGAGAAGAGACAACGGGGGGTCAGAAAAAAAGACTGCCACGTGGGGTAGCCAATGACCCTGAATCTGTGGCTCACTACATCTCATGTCTCTAACAGCTGGGCTGCTGGGCTGCCCCAGGTGGAGGTGGATGGGGGGGGTGGGGGTCAACATGAGAAGTCTACAAGCCAAACATTCCTGGTGAAGGAAGCAGCATGGGCAAAGGCCCTGGGGCAGGAGGGAGCAAGGCCCTCTGGAATAACAGACCCCGGCGTCAGCTCAGACAGGTGTAAGACCAGAAGCTGGCAGAGGCCACACTTCAGGGTGGAGCACGGAGTAAGTTCTTCCTTGGTCTTTCTTTTATGTAAGAGGAACCAAAACACCATTTGAGGGTGTTGAGCCAAAGCAAATCAGGAGGGTTCCTCCCCGAACCACAGCCCGGGGATTCTGGAGTCTGCAAGCCTCAGTTTGCTCATCCAGGAAAAGAGGATTAAAAACCACCTACATCACAGGATTAATCGAGACTTCGCAATTAAAAACCCTAGCAAAGTGCCTGGGCATACCGCAAGTCCTCCATACCCACCCCTCCCACCCAGTTCCGCCCCAAGCCCTTGGCCATCTTAGCACCAGTCAGCTTCTCTTTCTCCCTGCTTGAGCCTTGCACTATGCCCAGCACATAGTAGGCCCCTAAGAAATGCTTGCTGATGGGTTCTCTCTAAGCCTAAGAGTGAGCCCAAGACCAGTCCAACAGCTCTGCATTTCTGCTGGCTACAGACACCTCCCGTGCCCCTGCCCTCATAGGGTCATGCCCAGCGTACAGTGAGTGGACCTGCAGCCAACACGTTCTCAACAGGAAGCCCTCCAGGATGGGGCTCCCACAGGCAAAGGATATCCCCTGTGATCCTCTACATTTCCCAGTGGGGCTGGGTCGCAGGGGTTGGCTGTTCTTCAACAGCGCTCCAAGGCACCGGTGGCACACAGGTTTTGAGACAATAATAAGTTGAAATGTACTCGCCGCCGACCTACAAAGAAAACCTTATCACTGATCTTGCAGTGAGCACCAGCCTCCCCTTTGCAAGAGCTAAGATCAAAAGATAAAGAAGCTATCAAAAAGCCATCTGCCCACTTAAAATAATATCACAAGTCATGTTAGGAACCACAGACCCGGGGCCAGATACCAAAACAATTGTCTGAACGAGCTGCTTCAATTTCTCCTTAAAACCACCCCATGTATTTTAAAAGAAAAACACGCTCTCCACCCACCTCGGCCCTGCAAGGTTTTGATTTCTCTGTTCCCTTCCTCTCACACTCTTTAAAATGACCAAACTGTCACCCAAACTGTCGCATCTTCCAGACAGGGCTCCCACGACAGCCGGCTGAGATGACTTGGGCAAAGCGATAGAAACGAGAATGGATGGGGCACTGGGACGGCTCAATCTCTTGATCTGGGCAGTGGTTATGCAAGTACATACATATGTACAAATCCATCGAACTGTACCCCAAATATCAGTACACTTCATGAAGGCATAGCCCAATAAAGCAATCCCCCACCACCACCACCCCAAAAAAAAAAAAAAAAAAAAAGAAAGCAAAACGTGCTGGGAACTCCAACTTTGAAATCTCAGAATTTGCCCCGAATCCCGCCAGGTCTTCCAGAGGATCAGTAGTTTAAATTAAAAGAAAAAAAAAAGCCCCTAGCATTTCCTCCCTGGTCCTGTCACTCCTGGCTGAGTGGCTTTGAGCGAGCTGGCTCGCCTCTCAGGGGTTAATTTCTCTCTCAATTAAATGGCCATAACCACAGCACCTACACCACACAGCATGCACAAAAAGCCGAAGGAGAGAGGGTGGGTCTGACACTTATCACAGAGAGCAGTAAATACTGGCCGTCTTTATGTTTTTCTGCTACCACCAGGCTTCAGATAGCTTGCCCGTTTGCCACAAACAATCCAGTCACACAAAGGAACTGTCATACCCATTTAGCAGATGAAGAAACAGAGGCAAGGCTCTATAGCTGACGATGGGCAGAGTCGAGTTGGGCTCAGGTTTTGTGTGCTTTTACTCGTATCCCATAAAGTACATGCCGTAATTATCTGTTTCCCAGACAAGGGTCCTGAGGCAGAGTGGGGTTAAGAGTCGGCCATGGTCAGGGCTAGGATTTGAACCCAGGCAATCTGATGGCAGAAAACCTGCTCTGAAATGCTGCCTGCTCCCTCTCCATGAGGCTGCCAGAGGCAGCGGGGCTCACAGGTCCTAGGTGAGTAGGTGCTTGCCTGCGGGCTCTCCTCCCGGGGCGCATCTGCCCATCAGCCCAGAGCTAGACCTCTCTGAACCACTTATAGCCCGAAGCCTGTCAGGACCAATAGATCCCACAGATCCCTTGCTGCAGCCACTGTACTAATCAAGCACACACAAGGTCCCAAGAAAGCATTTTCCCAGTCCCATTCCCAGTTCTTCCAGGAACAGGGCAATGTATGTCCCCAGGGACTCTACTGAGCACGGGCACTCGAGATGACCACACAAAGAATCGGGCCGGGCTGCTGCCCTTGAAGAACTCTGAGCTTCATAGGAAAAACCTAGCATCGGGGCCTCCTGGGCTATAACTGGCTATCTCTCCAAGCCCCCGGGCAAGTCTCATTCCTGTCTGCTTCTGCCTCTGCCAGAGCCACTACTTTCCCTTGACAATGGCCTCAGCCCCTCACCTCTGCAGGCCTCACACTGGAGCATAACAGTAAAGAGCGTGCACAGGCTTCAAGGTCAAACATGGCTGAACTGGAAAAGCCAGGAACCATCACTTCCTCAACCAAGTTCTCCACCACTGAGACCCTAGCGCCCTGCAGTCAGATAGGATCAGATTCCATATCCCCACTGGCAAGGCCCTCGGTCTAGACTACCATTGTCACTGTTGTTCTCTCGGCTCCAACACACTGCCCATCATTCACACCAAGCTCAGTCACCTCAGGACCTTTGCACTCACTGTTCCTCTACCTAGAACACTCTCGTTCCACATATGCACACAACTCTTCCTCTTATCACCCAGGACTCCCAACTGTACCTCCAACAAGTACTCCCTGTTCCCCTCCTACAAACCCCACCACCTCCCACATCTGCACATACCTCTTCGTCATCCAACACTCACCTCCTCAAAAGCTCTCTCCCTAAGCGCCATGTCTAAAATAGCCATCACTCCCCCAGCTACCCCTCACTCTGTTTCTGCTCCTCTTTCTGCTCAGCGGCTAAGCTTGTCCCTGTTTATCTCAGCTGCTTGCTTGTCCTTTCCACCTGTGGCCCGCAAGAGGCATCTGTATGATCCCTGAGACTAACGAGGATATCTGTCTTGCCCAGGGCTTCACAGGGGGGAACTCAACCAACGAATGAATGAAAGCCCAGGAATGAAAACAGTGCCTCACACACGTTAAGGTCTCCATCACACTTTGCCTAACCAACTGAATGCCCCCTCTTCCCTGTCCTGAAGAGCAGGCCTGGGAGGGAGGGGGGAGCCTGCACCAGGGTGGGGGGGACATTTGGCCCTGTGTTGGCGGAGGTGGCGCTGGCAGACATTACCTGCGCCTCACCGGTTTCATGCAGCTCTTCAGCTGCCTGGCCTCTGCCTCCACGGGACCCTGGCACTCGGGCTGTGGCTCCAGCTGCTGCTGCTGGGGCAGCCCTTCGGCATCAGTGGGTGTGGGAGCGGGTGCGATCCGGAGCAGGACTGTGTAGTTGCGGCCGTGGTTGTTGGCCCAGAAAGTGCCCTCGGGGGTCTCATAGCGCACCACGAAGTCAAGGCGCGCCCCATCGCCCGCGCCCTCAGCAAAGGGCAACTGGAAGGCAAAGCGGTCGGTGCGGCCGCCGTCGTCGGGCGAGGAGGCGGCTGCCTGGCCGGGCCCCAGGCCGAGACCCGGATCCAGGATGGGATCTCCTGCTCCTGTGCCTCCTGCTCCTGCCCACGGCGGGCTGCGCGGGACGTAGCGCGCTGGGTGGTCGCAGAAGGAAGCCCAGCCGTCGTGTGAGGCCCGCACGTGCACCGCCTTCTCGAAGGAGCGGTTCAGCACGCGCACCAACCCGCGCAGCACCGGCGGGCGTCCCCCAGGCACCCACACCCCGACACCCCCGGGGACCGCTCCGGGAGGCGGCAGCAGCGCCTCCAGCTCCACCATCACGCGCCCCAAGCGCTCCAGACGGCCCGGCGCGGGCGGCAGCGAAAATGTGGGCACCAGGTAAAACCCCCCGCCAGCGGGGACGGGGCACAGCGGCGAGGGCTCGGGACAGGCCTCCTCTTCCTCCTCCCCTTCATCCCCATCCTCGCCATCGTCGTCCTCGTCAGCCCCGCCGCCGCCGCCGCCGCCGCCATCTTGCCCGGTCGCCGCGGCCATCTTGCCCGCCCCGGGCCCGCCCCACGGCCGGTAGCGGCGCAGCTGCGCCAGCGGCAGCCCCAGGGCCTCGTCGGCGAACAGCACCCTCCGCGGGGCCGCCGCCGCCTCAACCGAGGCGCGGGGCTCGCCCGCGGCTGGCGAGGGGGGCGCGGGATGCCGCAGCGGGGGCTCCACAGGGGCCGTGCGCGCCATAGCGGCGGCGGCGGCGGCGGCACCGGCGGCGGCACCGGCGGGGGCAGGGCCTGAAGGGGCGGGCAGCCAATGGGAAGGCCAGCGCGGGGGGGGTTACGGCTCACGGGGGGCGTAGGCGGCGAGATGAAGACGGGTATAGCAGGGAGCCAATGGGCAGCTGCGCGTGGCTGACGCAGGCGATGAATTGGGAGCCGGAGAAGCACGCAGCCAATGGGGATGCCCGAGAGTGGGCGGTGCAGGAGGGCGGGCTGATCGGAGAAATCAATGGGGAGGCCGGGATGGGGGTGCTGCGGGATCCAGGATGTAGCGAGCCGAAGTAGGACAGTTCATGAGGAAGCCTGAGTGGCAGTGGCGAGTGGGTGGCTGGGAAAGTGGAATGGCTGCAGGCGATGGGAGCAGCAGGGAGCGAAGAGGGAGAAGCCCGAAAAGTGGGAGATTCGTGGCTTGCGTAGGCGGAGGGACGGAAGATAGAAACGGAACAGCCAATGGGAAGCCGCGCGCAGATGACGTAGAGGCAGGATGACGAGAATGGCTGCAGCGAGCCAATGTGGGGTCTTGGGAGCGTGCGCTACAGCACTATGGCTTCAAGGGGCGGTGCCAAGGCGAAGCTAGCCAATACAGAGGCTATAAGGAGATCAAGAGGCGGGATGTGAGCGTCCAGAAGGTGGGGACCGTAATGGAAAGAGCCAATGGGGGTGGAGAATGAAGGCGGGAGAGAGGAGGCGGACAGCAGATAGCCAATGGGAGAGCCCCAGTGGAGGCGGTGAGCCCTCAAAGGGCAGTCCTACTAAGGGATGAGCCTATGTTGAGGCTAGAAAAGTGTAGCGGGACAGAGGGAGGACTTGGAGGCCAGACGGGAAAGAGCAGAGTCACAGAGGGCAGTGCAGGTGGTGGTGAAGAAACGCTTGAGCACCCAATAACAAGGCCAGAGGAGAGGGACAGTGCATATGTAGTCTAGGCTGTTGTGGGGTCGAACCACAGAACCATAATGTGTACGCAGCAATCGAAAAGAATGTCCCTCTCGGGATGCGTTTGCCATCTCCCTAACCCTGTGTGACTCCCATTGCCCCAGGAATGCCCCGGGTCCCTAGATAGGCCTAGACTGCATCCCAGTGTGAGACCTAAGAAAGCAAAAAGTTACTGGGTTCCCGCTACCTGTCCCGCAGTCTTTGCTTGAGTGGTGCCACTAGCCAAGAATGTTCTTGATTGTTCTTTAATGTCCTTGCTTGATCCTTAGCATTCTCCAACACTTGGCACCATTGTTGAATGAATGGCCAATGGGAAATTCAACTTTCTAGAGGATTAGCTTTTTCTAACTCCAGCTCTGTAAGCCCTGAGCCTGAGTTGATTAGGCGAGCTGGCAGACACTGGCCAAGGTAATCATTAACCAAAGCCTTCTCCTTCCTACCCCCGCTTCCACATCCCACCCGTGACCCCGTGTCCCTTCTCTCCCCATCTCTGCTCATCTCTGCTCCTATTGCTTCTGCTCCTACTGCCTTCTGTTTCCTCTAGCCAATGAACTTATTTCACTCTCCCTTTAAGATCTCACCTGTAGGAACCGAATGTGGCTTTGGCCCACTGAACATGTCCATTCATAGATTACTCTTCCATCCTGGGGGGGGGGGTATTTACTGATCAGCTACTGTGTGCCAGTGTCTGAACATTGCTGTTTTCTCATCAAACCCTCAAGCATTCCTAGGAGGGAGGTGATTCTCCCAACAGCCCCTGTCCTCCTCATGTCCAAGATGGGGTCAGAGATCAGGAAGGGGGGAAAAAAGGCACGAAATAATGGGGGCTTACACAAGAGAGCGCTCTCTTTTTTTCTCGTCTAAAAACATCAAGGCAGCAAGGAGCAGTCTGCAGACCCCTTCCTGCTCACCCCATTTAGACATTAACTGTGTCCTGTTCCAGTCCCAAGACTCTTATTTTCCAACAGATCTGTGGGCTCTATTTCTAAAACTGTTTCCCAAATCCACACCTCTGCTCACCACCTCCACCACTAACACTGTCATCAGTCACCCAGAGCAGTGGCCCACTATGCACTGGCCTGCACCCTGGCCCCTGAAACTCCATTCTGCATTCAGCAATCAGGGGATCCTGCTATGCTGTGAGACAGTTTCTGTCTCCCCTCTGCTCACAGCCCCCCCCCCCCCATGACTTCTTCACTCCGAGCGAAAGCCGAAGTTCTGACCAGGGCCAACAAGGCCCTACATGGTCTAACCCCCTCTTGTCCCCTGTCTCTCACCTCCGCCCTCCTCTTCCTCTCCCTCAGTCCGCTTTAATCACATCGGCTTCCTTGGACACCTTGAACAGGTTGGGTACACTCTCAGTGCCTTTGCACTGGCTGCTTCCTCTGGAGTTCCTCAGTCACCTACATGGCTCCCTCCTCACCTCCTTCAAGTCTGTCAAAGGTGCCCTTCTCTGGGAACTTGCCCTGACCTGTTTAATCCTGCTCTTTCTCCCCTAATTCCCAACCCTGTATTCCAAAAGACTTCCGGTAGAGAGAGGAGGTAATGAACTCTGCCCCTCTGTGCCACCTGACCCCCAGCCCTCACTCTGCAAGGATCCTGGATTCAGCAGTAGTTTGACTGCCCTTCCCACACCCTAGGCCCCACTCCAGTGGCCTCTTGGGATTCTGGCCTACCACCCTCACTCAGTTTTCCTCCCTCTCTCTCTCTCTCTGCAAGTGACAGTAAGGGAGGGATGGTCTGCAGAGGGTGTGAGGAGGATGCAGCTGGCATCTCTGACCTTGAGAGAGAAAACCAACCCCCTCTCCCAGAAGAGCACAGGGACAGGGGCAGGGAACGAGGCCTCAGCTTCTAGAACTGGCCTGGTTTATAATTACACAGGAGGCATAGGGATGTTCAGCCTCAAGTGCGCAGGGAGCATGGGATCATTCATCTTGGGGCTATCCCTATAGTCGGCTCCCTAGGACTCCTTCCCGACAAACATGTTCCTTACTGCCTCCCCTGCTCCCTCCCACACGCCAACATCTGTTAAGCACCTGCTATCCCCGGGGTCTCTGGAGACCTCCAGGCTGGGGCCCTCCTCCGACTTTGCTGCGTCCCCTGGCTGCCCAGCACACACAGGCCAAATCTGGAGCTCAGATGCGTCCCACCAACTCAGAAGCCCCAACTAGTGAAAGTTTTGTTTTGAACTTATGGGAGGGAGGGTTGGGCTTTTTTTTTTTTTAATTGTTGTTGTTGGCTGATTTTTTTTTTTTTTGGTCTTTTTTTTTTCTGCTCACCTTTTTTTTTTTTTTTTTTTTTTTTTTCTTGTCTTCACAAAGCCAGGCCATCAGGCCCATTCTAGGCTTTTCCAGAAAGGTGAGTGGAGTTGAGGAAAGAGGTTCTCTAGTTTTTGAGGGCCTAGAAGGTGGCAGAAGAAGGGGCAGCGGGCTGGGTCTTGGCCACTAGATTTATACTAGGTGAATAAAAAGCTGTTCTGGTTTCTCTTCTCCAGGCCTGAAGCCAGTCCTGCAGAGGGATTGGAGTGGACGCCAGATGACTGGAACCTTGGGCCATGCGGGGGACCCAGGAGCTGGAAGTGTCCGCCGTGGCCCTATCAGGCGACGGGCTCGGAGGCTGCTCTCCCACATGGACCAGTGGCTGGCGGGAGGACGCACTGAAGAAATAAAGGCAACCACGAAATCTTGGTCAACCTTAAAAGCTCACAAGCTTCAAGCCAACCCAAGGAATCTCCAAATCCCAGAACATCCGTGTCATCACCTCCTAGAATTTAAAACCTGAGACCCCTGTGTAACTGCACGTAACGTCCAGCTGACCTCAAAGGTCTATGGTGAAGATAGAATGTGCTCGTTCGCTGGAAGAGTTCAGGGCTTTGGCTGAATCTAGAAAGTTCGAGATCCACGCCAGCGGCATGATGGCGCGTCTTTGGAATCTACAGCCTTGGGAAACAGGGGAGCTCTTCAAAGTAGAAAATCGAACAGGCCGAGGGCCTCAGTGGCATCAGGCCAGGATGTTGCTGATGCAAGAGGGTTGGAGTGGCAAGGGGCCTCTGGAGGTCTTTGTGAGGATGGATGCGTGAATATTGGGCGGGGGGGGGGGGGCACTCAGACCTTCCCAGTGAGGTGGCCGTAAGACTCTCCCCTCTTTCCTCACTCAGTGACTCTCAGTGGATTCTGGGAGCCAGTGATTCTCAGATTTTTCGATTCTGTGAAATGTGGGGTTGGGGGGTGGACTCCCCATTTTGTCTGCATCAAGTAACTTATATGACCCTCACTCACCGCGGGAAGAGGGTTGCAGAGCTCCCCTCCCTGGGCAGTAGGAACAGTGGGGACCATATCTATTCCACCTAAGGGGAAACTGAGGCCCGGAGTAGGGCGAGGCCTCTGGAAACCCAGCCTGATGCCATCTCATGCCCAGGTGTCTCCTATCCACATGGACCACTCGGGATTCTCTTTTTCCCAGAGGCCCTCATGGACCCTCTCGTGCACACAATGGTGTCTGCCTCCTCCAGGACACCCCTGTGATTTGTTTGAGTTCTTTTCCCTTCATTTTTTTTTTCAACTCTACACACTTTTGTTTTAAAAACTGTGGTTTCTCATGCACCCTGTTATCTCATTGATACCTCTCACCTCTGTGGTGAGGGGAAGAAATCATATTTTCAGATGACTCTTAAAGGGCAAAGAAAAAACCCAAAATTTCAAAATTTCCGTTTAAGTCTCATAACCAAGAAGAGGAGAAACAGAGCGAGCGAGCAAGAGAGAGAGAGAGAGAACTATGAGAACCCCCCCCACCCCGTGATTATCAGCGCACACAGTCATCGAAAAAAAAAAATTGGATTATTAGAAGAGAGAGGTCTGTGGCTTCCACGCCCTGGTTTTTCTTCTCGGTATAAAAGCAAAGTTGTTTTTGCTATGTGACAGTTTCCCACAAGCCAGGCTGATCCTTTTCTGTCAGTCCACTTCACCAAGGTGAGTGCCCGCTCTCCCCCACCAGAGGTGGGCCCCGATGGAGGACTTAGCAGGGAGGTAAGCACTGGGGGAGGGGAAGAGGGGGGTCGAGGGCCCTGCGGTACCATCGCACGCACGCAGCTGCCGTGCCCCCATCAGGTAAGGTCTTTTGAAGCATAAGAATAGTCCTACTAAATGCCGGAAGACTGACTGATAGTGAAGTAGTTCATGGGCCCTGGGGCAGACAGAGTTAAATGGATGGAAGGATACGTGATGGAGAGGATTTTTCAAGGGGGTCAACTATAGGTCTTTGTGGATTTCAGAGGTTTGCCCCACAGGAAATGCTGCCCAGGTGTAACTGGAAAGTTCAACTGTATCTCTCTCTTCTCGTCTCCTCTCTCAATGCCTCCCGTCCCTGTCTCTCCTCACCCTTCCTCTGTGTGTGCTTCTCGGCCCTGCCCTTTGTCTTTTGCCCTCTCTACATCTGGCTCCCTGACTCGCAGACTCTCCGTCCATCTGTCTTGCCCAGGCTCTGCCCGTCTGCCTGGTCTCTCTGCCTCCTCCATCTTGGCCGCCCTTCTTCTATCTCCTCCCCCTCTCCATGCCCCACTCACCTGCCACCTACCTCTCCTGCTCTCTTGTCTCACTGTTCCCTACCTGTCTTCCCACCGGCTGCCCAGCACAGAGCCTGGAACACAGCTATGCTTAGTGATGGTGTGTTGAGTAGCCTTGCTTAGGACATTCACATTTTTCCAAGCGCAAGCATCAGTTCTGCCTTGCCCCGGTACCAGGAGGATTTGTGAGCTATCAGGTCATGGTGAATCTGTGCTGGCTTCATAGGAGAGGAGACCCCCTCCGGAAAGGCTAGGGGGAGGGGAAGGAGTTGCACTTTATGCCATTGTCATCCATGGCTTAACATCTGAGTCTTAACGACTGAATCTCACATCCAGGAAGAAAGCAGCAGGCTGCTCAGAGCTCACGTGAAGTCATTGCAGGCTTAGCCGAGGCTTGGGGTGCCGTAAGCACCTGCTAAGTGTTATAAGTGTTAGCTATTAGTATTTTTGTAACCAGATTCAAATCATGCTGCATATTGGGTATGCTCATGCTTTGCTTGATCAACAGTAACATTTTTGTAGCTCGCTGCACCTTGTTTCAACACCTGATCTTTCACAGCTGTTATTGTTTCAACACCTGATCTTTCACAGCTGTTATGACTATTGAGCCTGTCCTCACATCAGCATGAACTATGGTTGACTGGACAAAGTGCCAAGTGTGGGGCATTTGTGCTGTTCCCATTTTTCCCCGTAAACACATCAGATTGGTTCCTTGGGTTCCTGAAAATGGAGTTGCTGGGGCAAAAAAGGATGTGCATTTTTAACGGTTCTGACCCCTCTGCAAAAATGTCATCCTTTTGTTGTCCGCTCCCTCTACTTGAGCTCATTCTGGGTGGTTATTATCATTTTCTAGTCCTAACAGGTAAGAACAAACATTGCCATATTTTTGAAACTTGATTACTATTACTGTTTATCGGTCACTTGTGCTTTGGGGGTGGAGTGGGGGGGGGTCATCCGGTCATGTCCTTGGTTCTAATAGGGTGTTCATCTTTTTCTTATTGATTTGCCATAGCTCTTTATTTGAAAGACTACTCACCTTCCATTAGCCATATGTATATAGCGAATATTTTCCCCCAATCCATTGGTTGCTTTTTCTATTTGTTCATGGTGCTTTTTGTGATGCTTGTGATGTTTTTACATAGTCAAATGGGTTAGTCTTTTCTTCTGTGGTTTCTATCTCTGGTTTTGTGCTTAGAAAGTCCTTTCCCACTTGAAAATAAGATAAGTGTTCACCTGTGTTGGCTTTTGGTCTCCTTTATGGCTTCATTTTTTCCATTAACTGCAGAGGTTAAGAGTGTGGGTACTGGAGCCAGACTGTCTGGGACAAACCCAGCCTCACCCCAAACCATCTGTGTGATTTTTAGCCAAGCACTCAGTCTCTCCTTATCTCCATTTCCTCATATGTGCCATGTTGATTCTAATAGTACCTACCTCAAAGGGTCTTTGTGAGGATTAAATGTATTAACCACGCTAAGTGTGTAGTGCAGGGCCTGACACATGACAAGAGCCAAGATGAACCTTAGCTATTAAAATGTGCCTCTTTAACGGGTCTGGAATTCATTTTGGGATACGTGACGATGATGACATTTCCAACCGAGCAGTGAGGAATTGTTGAGAAAATGGACTGATTATTCAGTCACCGCCCTCTTCCCCTAATTATCTCAGAAACCTTGGTTAAACAACCCCATCCTCTCCCTTCCTCTCCCTCCAGTTACAAATGCCATATTCATCCCGCTAAACACACATCCATGTCCGAGCTTGCTAACTATTCCGGTCCCCAGTGCCTGTTCTTGTCCCCGGGCCATGCTGCCACGTTGCCTGTTGCTTCGCCGTACAATGCAATACCCAGTCGTGGGGGTTCCTTTGCATGGCGCCCTTCCTCATTATCCATTATGTCAGGAAGCTGCAGTTCCCCCAGGCAGAGACTGGCAACTGTTCTTATCTGGGGTGATTCATCCTCTCTCCCTCTCCCTCTCCCTCTCCCTCTCCCTCCTTCCTTCTCTTCCTCTCCCTCCCTCTTCTCTCCCTCTGTTTCTCCCAATACATCTCACTCACTCTCTCATTCTCCTTGTCTCTTGATCTCTATGCATCTCTCTGTCCCACTTCATGTCTCTCTCTCCATCTCTCACTATATCTCTTGTTCTCTCTATCTCTATCTCTATCTCTATCTCTATCTCTATCTCTATCTCTATCTCTATCTCTATCTTTGTAGATGTGTGTGTATATGTATCTCTGGCTCTCAGCCAGTCTCTGGATCTCTGGATAGAGGAGCAGTTGTCAACTCCAAGTGCCTCCTGACCCCTCCTCTTCCCTGCCCAGCACAGAAGGACAAATTGAGGCCCAAGGCCAGGCAGGAAAGCCTCTCTCAGGGACTCTCAGAGATCTAATGGCAGAGCTAAGGCCACACTGCGATCTCAGGACCCTCAGGGGGACCCTGGCTCTTTCCCCGACTGTGAACTTCAGTTTAGCCCTCAGCACCCTTGAGGGCCAAGGGGGCCTGGGCTGCCATTGCCCCTGCTGCCTTCTCCCAGGTTGGGCCCTGACATGAGCAGCATGCCCTCACGAGCCTAGTGTGGGGTCCGGCAGCACGGGAGCCAGAGGATGGTTTTGATGGAGAGATGGCAGCCAGTCAGTCCATCCATCCGTCTTTGCGTCTCCAGAGTTGACACTGGTCCCTGGGGACCTTGAGCCTGGGGCCCCGCCAGAGAGCCTGGCAAAGCTCAAGCTTTTCCTGCTGTCCCATGAGGCCCAGGTAGAAGGCACGCCAGCCTTAACCTTCTCCTTCCATCCCCATTGCTGGCAGATGGGACTGAGTTTGGGAACCTGGTCCCAGAATGGGCAGGGAGACCGAAGCCCTACAGGTGTCCATTTCCCAACCACTGATATTTCACTAAGCGGCTCACATGCATTTAACTTTGGAGGACAGTTACTGTCACTGGTTGTCCCAATTTACACCGGAGCCTGAAGACAGCAAAAGGCTGGGAGCCACACAGCCCGGCCCAGGCTCGGGGAAGGCAGAGGGACTCTGCCTCCTGTGGGGCTTGGCCCGGAGGCTTAGGCTTGCTGCCATCCCAGGCCTGTGGGCACTGGCCAGACGCTCTGTGAAGTCGGGAGCCTCCAGCCTACAGGCAGCCCCAGTGCATTGTACACCTTGGCCTATACGTACTGAGAAGTTGGACCCACGGACCCCACAGAGGCTATGAATGTGAGATTCGCAGGGGAAGAGGTTCTTTGAGTCTGAGAAATGACGTTCTATGATTTTGTGGTGCTGGGGTCCCAGGATCTATAGACCTGCATGGCATGCCTTGAACTTCCAACATGGGATCTCTCCACAGTCCAGTAAGAGCCAACTCTACAGAGCTCAGGGCTTGTCATGGTGGCCAGATGGACGTCACCCACCACATCCGCCAGCGCCCACGTCACCCCCACGTGGGCCAAGCCGGCTCCAGGATGGGCCAGCCAGTTCTCGGAACGAAACCCGTGGGGTGGGGTGTCTGCCCCCTTCTCTTCCTCCTTGGGGCCAGTGGAGCCCAGTGCATCCGGCCGCCATGACGTCAATGGCAGAAAAATCTGGGGAAGTTGGGGGCTGTGACAGCAGGGCCCAGATGCAGACCCCGATAGGAAAACATATTCTGGGTCCCAGAAACATCCTGCATGCCGCTTCTGAGAAACCCAGTCAGAAAGGGCCGCCCCAACAGACAGTGCAGGAAGCCGGCTGCCCAGCCCTCCAGGTCCCCCACCAGCAGGCAGACCATATCCAGGTCCCCTTTCTGAGAAAGCATCAGTGCTTCCCTGAGTCAGGCCATTCCGCACGTGTCTGGGGGTGGACATTTCTTATAAGCTCTGGCCACGTGTCCAGGCAGCTTCACAAGTGACCACAGGCCAGCCATAGGGGCCGGGCCATACGGAGTACATAGGAAACATCCACTCACTCACCAACACTGGTATTAGTTTGCTCGGGCTGATGTAACAAAGGATGGCTGAGTGGCTTACACAACAGAAACGCATCCCCTGACAGTACTGGGGGCCAAAAGTCCAAGGTGAAGGTGTTTGCAGGGCTGATCCCTTCTGGGGGCCATGTGAGAGAATCTGTCGCATGCCTGTGTCCTAGCTTCTAGTGGTGTGCTGGCCATGTTTGGTGCTCCTCGGCTTGTAGACGCATCACCCCACCTCTGCCTTCATACATTCACCCACCAGGGCTCCCCAGGCCCTAGCTCAGAGCCTGCATAGACCTGACCTCCTGGTTCTCCCACAGTAATACCTTAACCTCCCAAGAGACTAAGCCTTTTATACCTGAATTCTCACATCCATCTGCCTCAGCATCTCAGTCTGACGTCCCCCAGGAGGTGGTGGCAAAGAAAGGAATGAGAAGCTGCTCCCCCAGAACCCTCTTAGACCACCTCACCCCCCAGGGCTGTTCTCAGTAGCTATGTGCCCAACCTAGCGCTGTGGGGGTAGGATGAGGAGTCTGTCCCTCTCTCTCTGTCTCTCTCTCTCTGTCTCTCACACACACCCAGCAGGGGGGCCTGTGAAATGTGCCCATACATTTCCCCAAGAAAGAAGTGCAGGTCTCTGGTTGCCATGGGACTATGGAATTCTGCCCCTGAGCGTCCCCTTTGATAAAATGGGCATCAGATTGGGCACTCCTTTCCAGCTCTGGCTTCCTCTCTAACTGGAATCACAGGGTCCTGAGAAATCGAGGCCCTCCCCCTTGGAGAGTGGGGCTCAACAGAGGGACCTTGAGCCAATTATTGGAGGTGTTTGGGGGATGAGGAAAAGACTAGGCCTTGTCGGGTTTGGATAAGGGAAGAGGAGGACGGTGTTCCAAGCAGGGCAGACCACACAAGCAAAGGCTTGGGGAGCAGAGGTTGCGGTGACCGCTGATGGGGCTGGGTAGGGGAACTCTCACAGGACCTGGCTCAGAAGAGCCATCTCTCCTCCTCTCTGGCACCTGCCGCACCCGCTCCACGCGGGGCAGGAGCCCAGAGCTGGCCAGACTCTGGTGTCCAGCTGCCCACCCAGCATGCCCACTCACATATCTAATGCCAGACTGTCTGCATCCGTGCACCCCTGGATTGTCACTGCCAGCTCTGTCCCCTGTCCTGTGTTCCCTACCACAGGTAATGTCAGCTCCGTCCTTCCAACTGCTCAGGCTAAAATCTAGCCTTCACTTTGGCCTTCCATCTTTCAACCTGATGTCCAAGCTGCCAGCAACTTCTGCACCTTGAAAACAGATTCAGACTCTCCCCACTTCTCACCAGCTTCCCTGCCCCCTTCTCAGCCTGTGCCACCCTCATCACTTGCTCGGATTGCTCAGTAGCCTCCTTTCTAGCCCTGCTGTCAGCTACTTCGAGTCTGTCTCCTTCAGAGCAGTCCCATGAGTCTTTCCAGCACATGCCCAAGGCACAGGGGTTAAAGAATGCCTCCTTCCCTCCCCCCACCCCAGGAAGCCAGAGAGCAGCCCCAGCAGGATCCAGCAAAGGCTGTGTGGCCTTGTGCAGTGTGCAAGGGGACCAGGAGCTGAGGCTTGCAGCCAGGGTTCAAGTCTGGGGGAACTGACCAAGACCTACTGTGGCTGTGGCGCCACAAACCAATCACCCGTCACCTTGGCGGAAGACACATCCACACCACGGCTGTGGCGGCAGGTGCAGGCTGGCCTGGTGCTGGACCTGTGCTCATGGCAGAGGGACAGGGTGGGGTGTGTGTGGATATACATGTGTACCTGTGTTCCTGACGCCAATGTGTGTGTGCACGCGTGCATATGCACATTACCGGAGCTGGGTGCAGCTGTGGGGACATGCCCCAGCCAATGTCTCCTCTGACCAATGGGGATGTCCACGTGCTCCAGGGGTTGGGTATCTTGCCCCACCCCCAGCACATATGTAACTGCTTCCCCCTGTGTCCCTGCAGCCTACCCTCAGGCAAGAACCCAATGCCCAACCCCAGGCCCACCAAGCCTTCGGCCCCTTCTTTGGCCCTCGGCCCATCCCCAGGAGCTTCACCCAGCTGGAAGGCTGCACCCAAGGCCTCAGACCTGCTGGGGACGAGGGGCCCAGGGGGAACCTTCCAGGGCCGGGACCTCCGAGGCGGAGCCCATGCCACCACCACCTCCTCCTTGAACCCCATGCCACCGTCGCAACTGCAGGTGAGGCCCAGGGCTCAGGATGGGACAGGCAGGGTGGGGTACCTGGGCCCACAGGTGCCGACCTTTACTGCGGCACCGAGCGGGAGGCGGGGTGGGGGGGGCTGGCTGGGGCACAGGAAGTGGTTTCTGGGTCCCAGGCAAGTCTGTGACTTATGCAGATGTCTCAGGGCCAAGAAAGTCCCCACTTGTCAGGCCTCAGAGATTCAAGGCTCCCGCCGACTTCCCAATCCCTGTTTCAGCTGAGGAGGGGACCCTATCATGGTGCCTATAGGGCACAGCCAGGGGTGCTCATCCACATGTGACAAGCGGAGAAGGCTGGGGCCTAAGGAGATGAGGTGACAGAGTTGTAGCCAGCTCTGCCACTTATTAGCCATTTGATCTTCAAAAAGTCACTCAATCTCCACGCATGTACTATGGGGCTCCCATAGGGGTGCATGTGGGGCTGTGGTAAGGAGCATACAAATGAGGCACAGAACACAGAAGATGAGGATGGCATCCCACCCGCCTGCCTTCTCCCCTCAGCTGCCCACAGTGCCCCTAGTCATGGTGGCACCCTCTGGGGTGCGGCTGGGCCCTTCGCCCCACTTGCAGGCACTCCTCCAGGACAGGCCACACTTCATGCACCAGGTATGGACCCTGAATGAGCAGGGAGGAGGGAGTAGGTGGGGGCACTGTGGGGAGGGAGCCCGGAGCCAAGCTGAAGCGCCGACCATACGTGCCCCCCCCCCGGCCCCGCTCCATCCCAGCTCTCAGCAGTGGATGCCCACGCCCGGACCTCCGTGCTACAGGTGCGCCCGCTGGAGAGCCCAGCCATGATCAGCCTCCCGCCACCAACTGCCACCACCGGGGTCTTCTCCCTAAAGGCCCGGCCCGGCCTGCCACCTGGTAACACCTCAACCTGGCACCCCACGGCTTCACAGAACCCGACTCCTCAAATCCTTGAACGTGAGCAGTGCAGGCTGTTCTAAATCGCGGCCCCCCGGAGGTCAGAGGAATCAGGGCTCCGAGTCATGGAAACTCTAACCTCCAAAAAAAAAAATGTCAGCTTCAGAACCTTAAAAGTGCAGAATGTCAAAATTGCAGAACCACAGGTCTTGGCAAAGTCAGTCAAAATGTCAGCGCTTGCCAACGGCAGTCTTTGAGCCGCTCTGCCAGAAGCCTTGGATTTGGGGGATGGGGGGATGGGCAGGCAGCAGCACCTCTGGGTGTTGGGCTTTCCAGGTGAGGTAGGGTGAAAAGTTTGAAATGAGAGGCTTGCAGCAGTGTCCTGTCTCCATCCACAGCAATCAACGTGGCCAGCCTGGAGTGGGTGTCCAGGGAGCCAGCACTGCTCTGCACCTTCCCAAGCCCTGGCGTACCCAGGAAGGACAGGTTGGTGGGCAGGACTGGGAAGAACCCTCCCCCTGCCATCCCCGCCTCTGACATCCTCTGCCCACCCCCAGCACCCTTTCGGCCGCGCCGCAGGGCGCCTACCCGCTGCTGGCAAATGGCGTGTGCAAGTGGCCCGGATGCGAGAAGGTCTTTGAGGAGCCAGAGGACTTCCTCAAGTGAGTGGCCGCTCGGGGGTGGGGGTGGGGGCTGCTAGTGGGTAGAGGTCTGGAGTGTAGGTCTCAGCTCAGGCCTTACCCAGACAGGGAGCAAGAGGTGAGAGGTAGAGCCGAGACTGAGGGTTCGAATCCGCCTCCATTTCTCATGGCTGGGCGAACGCTACTTAGCTTCTCTGGGCCTCCGTCTCCTCGTACACATAACAGGGCATATTAACTGTCGGGAGGGGCACAGCTGGCCCCCTCCCGACAATTAACAAAGGTGTATACTGTTGCCTGCCTCCATCTTACAGGCAAGAAAACTGAGGCCGAAGAGTAAATGTCTTGATCAAGCTCCCCCAGTCCCTAAGTGACAAAGCCAGGATTTGAACCCAGTCAACCAAACTCCAGATTCTGTACACCTAACTGCTTTGCCTTGCTGCTTCTTATGTCAACACACCAACCTGATGCTACAGATTCCCGAAGCCCTGGCTCTCCTGTGACTGCTGCTACCTCCTCTCAGCCACATCTCTCTCTCTCTGTCTCTCCCCAACTACTAGCAGCAACTCAGCAAAGCTGCCCCCTCCCACTGAGTGCCTTTCCCGCTCTCACTTGCCCAGCCCACTCCCAACTCACCCTGCTCCCCTTCCAGCAATATCTCCAAAGCCATGGCGAAGTTCAAGTGGCAAGCTCAGGCCTGGCACAAGTGGCATGTGTAGAAGGAATGACAGGTGTGAGAGGGAAAGCGAGGCAGAGAGGGAAGGGGAGCTGAGGCTCTGAGAGACCGCACACAGAATCTGAGCTATCCCCACTTGAACACTGAGCCAGGAGGCCAGGCCTGCTGTGCTCACCCGCATGGCACCTTCCCCTACCCAGGCACTGCCAGGCAGACCATCTCCTGGACGAGAAGGGCAGGGCGCAGTGTCTCCTCCAGAGAGAGGTGGTACAGTCTCTGGAGCAGCAGGTATGCTGGGAGACATGGGGTGGGAGTGGGGGGACAAGGGGATGTCCACCTGTGCCAGGAACAGAGAGCTGGCATGAGGGACAGGGTAGGAGCTGGACGACCAGAGCCCGGGCAAAGATGTGGCAGAGAAAGTCAAGGTTGAGGCCTCACTTTTGTGCCTGTCATCACAGTTGGTGCTGGAGAAAGAGAAGCTGGACGCCATGCAGGCCCACCTGGCCCGGAAAATGTCACTGAGCAAGGATCCATCCGCGGTGAGCAAGCCCAACCTTAGACAGTCCCTGGACTCCACGTGCCCAGACCTAGGAACCTATCCCCCTCCACTCATATACCCTCCGACCCTACAATTCCAGAACACTGTGATCCTGAGTTTGCAAAGCAACAGCAGAGAGCCACTTCCTGGAGGGAGACTATGCCACCGAAGGACCGGCAACATCACTTGCAGGGGCCAGTGCAAAATGAAAGCACGTGGCTCTGTATTCCCACTTCAAGGTGGTGTCCCCAGAGCATTAAACAAAGCTTGGGGGACAGGGATCACACAGCCACGAAGCCACCCCCCTACCCCAGGTGTCAGGTGCTGTTTGGGGGCCTTGGCTGGCGTTAAGTTCTTCAAACCTCATAATGCCACTATGAGGTAGCTACCACTCTCACACCCGATGCATAGAGGAGGACAGCTAAGACCAGGAGGGTTTAGGTGATTTTCCCAAGGTTGTAGTTGAGTGGTAGCAGAGCATGATTCAACCCTGGCCAGACTGAAACTGAGAAGACGGTGCCCTTGCTTTTTTATTTTTTTAAGATTTATTTTTTTATTCGAAAGAGTTACACACAGAGAGAAGGAGAGGCGGCGGGGGCGGGGGGGGGGGTCTTCCCTCCGCTGGTTAACTCCCCGAATGGCTGCAACAGCTGGAGCTGCACCAATCCGAAGCCAGGAGCTTCTTCCAGGTCTCCCATGCAGGTGCAGGGACCCAAGGACTTGGGCCATCTTGTACTGCTTTCCCAGGCCATAGCAGAGAGCTTGATCGGAAGTGGAGCAGCTGGGACTCGAACCAGTGTCCAAATGGGATGCCAGCACTGCAGGCGGTGGCCTTATCTGCTATGCCACAGTGCCGGCCCCACCCTTGCTTTTTAGAAACACTGATTCGAAAATAAAATAGAAGGGAGGCACTGTGGCACAGCAGGTAAAGCTACTGCTTGGGACACCTGCATTCCCATATCTGAGCACCCGTTCAAAGAGCCACCTACTCTACTTCTGATCCAGCTGCCTGCTAATGCACAGTCTGAGAGGCAGCAGGAGATGGCCCAGGTGCGTGAGTCTGCCACCCTTGTGGGAGACCTGGATGGGGTTCCTGGCTCCTGGCTTCAGCCTAGTTCAGACCTGGCTACCATGGCCATTTGGGGAATGAAGCAGAAGATGAGAGATATTCATATTCTCTCTCTTTCTCTCTCCTCTCTCTGCCTTTCAAATAAATAAGTAAATCTTTTAAAAAATAAAGTGGAAGGGTAGGCACTTGCTATAGTGGTTAAGTATTCAGTTGGGACACCTGCATCCCATATTGGAGTCCTTGGGTTTGAGTCCAGGCTCCATTGCCAATTCCAGCTTCCTGCTAATGTGTGCAACCTGGGAAGCAGCAGGTGGGTCCCCCCCATGGCTGGGGGGAGGCATTTGGATGGAGTTCCTGGATTCTGGCTTCAGCCTGGCTTAGCTCCTGCTATGGCGGCCATGTGGGGAATAAACCAATGGATGAGAGATCTGTCTGTTGCTCTCTTAAATTGAAAAGTAAAATAAAAATAAAGTGGAGATGTGAAGCCCGTGAGTCACCAGCCTCTCGCCCTCCCCACAGGCCCCATCGGACAAGAGCTCCTGCTGCATTGTAGCTGCTGGCACCCAGGGCAGTGCTGTGCCGGCCTGGCCCAGCCCCCAGGAAGCCTCAGACAGCCTGTTCGCTGTACGGAGGCACCTGTGGGGCAGTCATGGCAACAGCACATTCCCAGGTAAGACGGGCTGTGCCCTACATGCTGACCTGAATCCTAATCCTGACTAGTACTGGGGCTGTGTGTGGAGGGGGTAGCGGGGGGGGGGGGATACAGTGGAGCTCCAGGCTGCCCCCACCCCCACCAGCCAGCCTTCAGGGATCTGCTTGCCAAAGCTTCCTCTCCACATGACAGGATTTCCCGACAGTCCCCATTCCAGTCTCAGGTGTCCAGCTGTAGCCCTGCCTCTGATGGGACATGGGTTTTGGCTGCTCTGTGCAGCACTTCCATCCCCCACCAAAGCAAATGAGGTAGATTTGCCCAAGCCCACCAACCCCCTGCTGTCTGCCAGGCCTGGGCTACGGGCTTCACAGGGACCAGAGCCCTTGAGTGTCATCCTGACTCTGCCACTTGACCACTTACATGCCTTGGTTCGCAAGTGACATCAACCTCGGCAAGAACCATTTTGGCAGGGGTGGTGCAAAAGGGAAGGCCGCGTCAAGTGCTCAGGAAACAGCACCTGCATGCGACCGTGGCCCTGGTGTTGACCGTGGGGGTAGAGGGAGGCTGGGACAGGGAACTAGGAGTCCCGGGCCGGGGCCTGATTCATCTCCACCCCACTCCCCACCCTCTGACAGAGTTCTTCCACAACATGGACTACTTCAAGTTCCACAACATGCGGCCCCCTTTCACCTACGCCACCCTCATCCGCTGGGTAAGCTGCGCAGCTCAGGCCTGAGCAAGAGGAAGCGATGGGGGGGGGGGGGTTCTGCCTCTCCTCCCTCGAGGAGGCTCCCTGCCTTAACAAGGCCTTGCCCTGAGGTAACCCCAAAGCGTGCGTCAGGTGCCATCCCCAGTGGTCGCTTCACCTCAGACTTGTCCCTAAATCACATCCCCAGGACAAATCATATTCTAACCCGAACCCCACCCCTTTCCAGAGGCCCACCTCAAGCCCAACCTAGCCCTTGCCCTTTCGTGGCCCTACAGTTTAGCTCCCAAACTGACCCCCTCCTCAGCCCCTTGCCCTAAATCCACCCCAGGTATTATTCTAACTCCTTCCCCAGCCATCTTAGCAACCTAACCCCAACCTCCCTCCACCCAGTTCTGATGCATTGCAGTATGTCAGTGCACCCCCACACTGGACCCCAGCCCTCAGCCTTCCTCGGGACATCCATTTTACCCATAACCTCGCCCAACTCTAGCCCCTTTGCCTCGCTCCCAAGTGCCCTCCCAGAACCTTTCCCCTTCAGCTGAGCCCAGCCTGAACCTTCACCTGACCTCCACACACACCATTCAGCCCTCGCTGGGCTCTGAACTGAACCCTGGGCCCAGCCCCCTCCTGACCCTGCACCTCACTGCAGTCACAATCCCATTCCTCAGTCCAAACACATCAGACTCCCTGACCCTCACCCTCACGTCACGCCGCGCCCCACACTGATCTCCCCCTGGACTCTGCACCTAACCACCCCCCTGACAAGGAAAAGACTCACTAACTAGGCCCACCTCTGACTCCTGACCTAATGTCATGTGATCCCAACCCTCATCCCCTGACCCCTAACCCTACCTGGCCCTTTATCCTTTCCAAATCCTTAATTTGACCCCACTCCTGACCCTTCTTCACCTTCCCAAACCCTGAGTCACCCCCACAGAGAACCCCAACTCCAGGTCCATTCCAGACCTGTAACCTCACTCCAGCTCTGACCCTGAACGCAACTTCTCTTCCAGCCTCAGCCCTGATCCCTCACCTAATCCCAAGATGACCACACCCACACCCCACCCCACTGCTAGCCCCACTCTTGATTCCCTGCCTCGCCCCACAGCTCATTCTATCCCTGGTCCTTTGCCCTGCGCCATCTCTCTCTCCCCCCTCTTGCTGCACCCTCCCATCAGGGTAGGCTACCACCCTTCTCAATCGCAACCTTGGGAGGGCTACTCCCCTTATCCCACCCTCCACCACCTCCAGGCCATCCTGGAGGCCCCAGAGAAGCAGCGGACACTCAACGAGATCTACCACTGGTTCACTCGCATGTTCGCCTTCTTCCGAAACCACCCTGCTACCTGGAAGGTGAGTGCTCTGCCCGGGCTGTGGCTGGGGTGGCCCGAGCACTGGGGCAGCTCAGAGTAGGTAGGCCTGGGGCTGGGCTCAGAGGCATGTGGGGAAGGGCAGGAGGCTGGGCGTTGGTGGGGGCTGCTGACCTCAGAGAGCGACGGCCACCTGTCCCTTACTGGCTGCCCCTCCTCCCACAGAACGCCATCCGCCACAACCTGAGCCTGCACAAGTGCTTCGTGAGAGTGGAGAGTGAGAAGGGGGCTGTGTGGACCGTGGATGAGTTTGAGTTCCGCAAGAAAAGGAGCCAGAGGACCAGCAGGTGCTCCAACCCCACACCTGGCCCCTGACCTCAAAGCAAGGAAAGAAGGATGGACAGACCAAAACAGGGAGGGGGGACAGAAGTGACAGGCCCTGGACATGCCTACAGGGACCAGAAAGTGAGGGGTCCACTCTTACTTGCCAGGGCCCCTGTTCCCATCCAGCTAACCTCCTGGATTCCCATCCTCTGCCCCAAGGCTGCATAGGGGGCCCCAGCCCAGCCCCCACCCCCACCCCACCCATGTGAGGGGCTCTCCAGCCCAAGGGTGCCTTCACAACCAGCCACATACAACAGCCTGCCTCAGCCACTTTTACAGACGACCTCAGGACTGGGAAAGTCACAGAGACGGGTCACCCTCCCGGGTCCTGGACTCAACACAACCGCGAAAACACAAAGCCTGCCTCGGTATACTCAGACAGGCTCAGAGCTGGACAGTCCCCCACAGAATCACACACGAGCCAACACCCTGTTGACTCCCATGGCCCATGGCACACAGCCGACAGCCAGTCTCTGGGCCCACACGTCAGTGCCACACTTGGTGTGCCCAGACCCCCTTACAGAGGCAGTGTCAGCACCCTCAGGACCTCACATTCCAGTCGCCTGCAGTTCCCAACACATGTGCTCATTCACAGACACAACCTGTGTATTGTGCATGCCTGTGCACATACATGCACATGCATACACACACACACACGCATGCACAGTGTGCTGACTGCCAATACCTACCCATGTCTCACTGCCACCCGCCCCACTTCCCAGCCCTGAGCCCCAATCCATGCCTCAGCCTAGACTGTACAAGAGCCCCTCATTTATTTTGGGGATCCAAGGCACCCAACCTCCCCACTGCCCCCCACCAATAAACTGCAGCCAAACTCCCACGTACTGGATGGTCGCCCCAGATAAAGGTTATGGTCAAATGGGCAGGGGTTTGGAGTCCAAGGCAGCAGCTGGAGGGACTGACTACGCAGCACACAGAAGAGGCAAGAGGCAAGTGCTGGGCTGTTGCCTCCAGTGCCCCAGATCTCTGCCTAAGGCTGGGGGGTGGGGGGACTTGTGCTGGGAGCTCTTCAGGCTTCCCGCACGCGGCCCAGCAGGCCAGCATTCTCCTGGCGAAGGGCTCGATAGTCCTCTCGGATCTTCTCCAGGTTGCTGAGGGTCTTCTTGCCCATCTCCGTCTCAATCTAAGGCAAGGTGAACACACCCCCTCAGCACACAGGGCCTCTTCTCAGCTCCTGCTGGCCACCCCGCTCCATTCTGACCACGCTGGGCCCCTTGCCCCACCCAACCCAGGCCCTGTTCCAGCACTACCAGGCCTTTGCACCTGCCGCTCCTTCCAGCTAAAGCAATTTTCACTCTGTGGTGGGATTCCCCACCAAGTTGTCAGGCCAAGGCCTCTGCCAATTGGCCTGGCCCGGCTCAATGCACAGTCATGAAGGGTGGGGCTGAACCTCTAGCTGTAGGCTCGGTCTGGCTCCACAGCCCCAGGCCATACTGACCCCACCCCCCAGGCCTCACCTGCTCCTCAAGGTCGCGCACTTCCCGCATGATAGTGCCTGTATCCTCGATGGTCTGGATGAGCTGGCTGCAGTTCTGGGGACAGCGAGAGCACGAAGCTTGCACCCAGGCCGGCCCCGCCCCAGCCAGCCCCCCGGGCACACTGCTCCCCTCACCTCGTGCAGGGCAGCCAGATACTTGTAGGCCTTCCGAGCAGCGTCATCCTTCTTGGCATCCTAACCAGAGGGAATCTCGAACATTTTGGCAGCTGCCCCCCCCACCATCACCTCCTGCATGCCCCGTACAAGGCTACCCTCTCCCCGCCACCTGACTTGACCCTCCACAGAGCAAAGCCAAGCCAGAGCATCAGTGTACCCGCAAGGCTCGGGCAGGGCCCCAGAGCAGTAGCTGGCCCCACCCCAACCCTCACAGCCGACCCTGGGGCCGCCCCACACCTTGAACACGAGCTCATCAGTCACCGCAAACGTGCGGTCCAGCTTCCCGGAGAGGGAGTTGATTTCTTTCTGAAGCTCCTTCGTGTCAGACAGGATCTGGCAGACACCAGAGGGGCCATGAGCCCGTGGGTGGGGCAGAGGGTACGCGTGTATATGCAACCACAGCCGGCCAGGGCCCGTGTCTGTGTCAGGGAGTGGGCTGTGTGTGGCTTTTCTGTGTCGGGGTGTGGCTGGACAGCTTTGCCTCTCCGAGTATGAGGTCCTCACGTGGCCATGCTGCACCTGTCTGCCTGCATAACCCACCCTCGGCCACCATGGTGGTGCACCTTCGTGATCTCTTCTTTCTGCTTCCGGATGTTGCCCACGATCTCCAGGATGCGCTGGGTGTAGGCCAGCCGGGACACATCTCTCGGCAGAGTCTCCAGCTCTGACACCTAGGCGGGGGACACAGCAGGCACTCCACCAGGGCCCCCCAGCCCTCCCCTTCCCCTGGCCCCCAGGGCCCCCGGGGCCCCCGGCACAGGCCTTACCAGCTGTTTGTAGACCTCCTCCTTCCTGCGGGCCTCCTCAGCAGCCGCCCGAACACTCTGGTGCAGCTCCTGGATCTCTGCCAGCCGTCGGGAAGATTCCAGCTGCCAGGAGCCCGTGGGCACAGGGCAGTGAGCACAGCCCAGGGTTGGCCCCCTAGGGAGGGACCCAACCCCCCTCAGCCACAGCCCAGGACACCCACCACCACCACCGCCACCACCACCACCTACCTCTCGGCAATCCTGGAGCTTTCGGAGGTGGCGGTACTCGGCGAGGAGTGGGACCCGGTGCTTCTCCCACTGACCCGCCAGGTGGATGACCCGCTGGGCACTACTCTCCACCACGAGCTGGAAGGGACACGACGTGTCACCCAGGCTGCGCCTTCCAGACCCTGCCCTCCCCCGCCCAGCGCCAGCCCCAGCCCACCTGCAGCTTGGCAAGGTTGGCAGCCCCGTCGGGCAGCAGCTCCACCGCGCGGCTCTTCAGGCGCAGGGCCTGCTCTCGCTCCGCCGTGCTGAGCTCCCTCTGCCGGCACTCGGTCTCCACCTGGCATGCCATCAGCCCGCCCCCGTAGGTGACTGCACGGCCCTCTAGCCCCCTACGCCTATTTGACCCCTCCAGCTGCATACTGGCACCCAAGAGCCCTGAGAAGCCCCTAAACCCCTGCCATACAGAACTGTCTTGCCCCACAGATATCCACAGACTCTTGTACCCCTCCTGCTTCTCCCAGCCACTTCCAAGGCCTGACTGATGCTTACAGGTACCTCTAACCCCTACAGGTCCACCAAGCTCCCCGCCTCTCCCCCACTCTCCCCCACCCATTCTCCTGAACCCTCAAGAGCCTCAAAGATCCCCAGTGTGCCCCCACAAAGCTTTCTGGTATCTGCAGACCTCTACAGAGCACCCCCAGCCCCCTCCAATCCCTTGAACCCCTTTAGGCCCTCACCTGCACCAGGCTGACGCCCAGCGTCTTCATGTCAGCTTCAACCTCTTCGATGTTGCGGTTCACTCCCTCCAGCTGCTCCTGAAGGGACTCTAACTCCTGTTCCTGAGCTGCCCTCGTGTCCTAGGAGGCACAGGCCAGCCAGGGTGGGAGTGTCAGGCCCAGCAGGCAGCCAAGGACCCAGGACATCTCCCACCACTCTGCTCACCTGTTCAGGCCGCCGCGAGGTGGCTGGCGTATCTGACACCTGCGCTGCTTGGACCTGGGGTTCCTAAGGGAGTAGGGAGGGGGGTCCTGGTGAGGGCCCTGACACCTGTCTGCACTGTGCCCATGCTCACTGAACCACTGATGGCTGTCACACAGTGCTGCTAAGAGGGGACCTCAGACTAGAACGTTCGCTCATGGGGAAGCCACTGTGACCCTGCCCAGCTGCTACACACCTGTCCCATCTCTCAAGCCCCAGATGCCCATGAGAAGGATGGGGCCCCTCTAGGTGAGCATCCAAGGACAGGGGATATACCAAGAAGAAACTGCCCAGGGAAGAGACGGGGTTTTGCACCAAGATCACCCCTGCATTCTCACCTGTACCCCCACATCCACCCCTTCTCCACTGAAGGCCCTGGGAAGTTGGGGTCTGACCCTTCTGGGGCTCCACCCCCAGATGGCAGAGGGCCCGCGGGGGAGAACACAGGAAGCCGTGTGGGTAAAAGTGCGGTGTTTATACCCAAAGCAACCCTCGCACCTGCCATGCCCTGTCAGCCAGCCCGTATCCACTAAGGCCCACCCACCAGGTGGAAGGTAAACTTCTCTGAATGTGTGAAGCGGGAGCCCTTGGCGGCACCAGTCTTGGCCCCAGCACCCCAGGCCTGCAGCAGCTCTCCCAGGTCTCGGGCTTGTGTGGGGGCCCCAAGAGGGGCCCAGCTTTGGCGCAGATTCTCAGCCAGTTGCTTCTGCAGCCGCTGCCGCTTGGCCCGGGTATCCTCCTGGGAAGAGAAGGCAGGAGGAAACAGGAGGCTATGGAGGCCTGTCTGCCCGCCCCCTCCCCACACACACACCCCAGACCCTGCCTCCTCCAAGAGGCTACCAACAAAGTGCTATAGACAGGTCATAGCCACCCTCCAACCTTCCTGTGAAGGTGGGCCCCTGCCCTCCTCCTCTACCTCCTACATCTGGGATCGCCCCAGGGTTGGGGGCTCCTCTTCCTCATGGCCACACTCCTCTCTACCCACTCACTCCGCACACTGCAGAAGGATGTGGGAAGGGAGTGAAGTAAGCCTGGAGCCCCCAGATCAGAGAGAGGTATGGAAAGGATGTGTGGGGCCAGAGCAGAGAGAATCAAAGGTACCAGGCAAAAAAGGGGGCAGAGACAAGTTCCCAGACAGCTGGGGAACTCTGACTGTGAACTCAGCATTAGATGCCCTTAAGAGACTGTTGTGGGCCGGCGCCGCGGCTCACTAGGCTAATCCTCCGCCTGCGGTGCCAGCACCCTGGGTTCTACTCCCAGTCAGGGTGCCGGATTCTGTCCCGGTTGCCCCTCTTCCAGGCCAGCTCTCTGCTGTGGCCTAGGAGTGCAGTGGAGGATGGACCAAGTCCTTGGGCCCTGCACCCCATGGGAGACCAGGAGAAGCACCTGGCTCCTGGCTTCAGATCAGCGCGGTGCGCTGGCCACAGCGGCCATTGGAGGGTGAACCAACGGTAAAAGGAAGACCTTTCTCCCTGTCTCTCTCTCTCACTGTCCACTCTGCCTGTCAAAAAAAAAGAGACTTGTGAATTTCATTAGTTGTGAAAATAGTCCAGTAGTTACATTAAAAAAAATAATAATAATAACGTGCTAGGGCTGGCAGTGTGGTACAATGGGTTAAGCCACCACTTATGACACCAGCATCCTATATCAGGGTGCCAGTTCAAGTCTCGACTGCTGCTCTGCATCCAATCCAGCTTCTTGCTAACGTGCACCCTAGAAGGCAGCAGGTGACAACAGCTCAAGAAGTTGGGTCCCTACCACCTACATAGGAGACCCAGATAGAGTTGCCAGCTCCTGGCTTCACCCTGACCCAGCTCCAGCTATTGCAGGCCCTGGGGCAGTAAACCAGCAAATGGGAGATTCTCTCTTTAAAGACAGACTGGCAAAATGGCATGTAGGATTCATTAGAATACTCTCTCTACTTTTATGTCTTGGAAGTCCTAAAAGTTTAAAAGAGAGAGAAAAAGACAAAACAAATGGCAGCCAGGGAGGTAGGGGGACACAGAGAAAGTACAGAGGTGGGCCAAGGAAGAGAGGACAGATAGAGAGATGGGGGGGGACGGAGGCAGATGGAGGGGAAGAAGGGACAGATAAGGAAGCGGACTGAGGGGGAGGAGGGACAGACACAGACACAGAGGAGGACAGGGGAGAAGGAGACCAGTGCAGAGGTGGGCAGAGGGTAAAGGGGACAGAGAGAGGTGGACAGAGGGCCAGAGGGGCAGCGCAGACAAGAGGAAACATTATGATGGGCAATTAGCCCGCAGACTGAGAGAGACAGGAAGAGACAGTGCAGAAACACACAGACAAATGGACATCCGTGACACCTGCAGCAACAGAGGGCACGTGAGGGACCTGGAGGCAGGAGGAGGGCCACAGAAACAGGGATGGAGGCAACGATTACTGACTGCTCCCTTCGTGCACGGCATTCAGTCTAACCTCAACCCTGAGGGGAGAGGCACATCACCGGCCCATTTTTCAGAAGAGAAAACTGAGTTCCTGGGGAGGGATACTGATTTGTCCCAGGTCAGTGCATGTAGATGGGAAACTGGGGACAAGAGGGACAAAGTAGAGAGAGGAGAGAAGCAGAGGGCCACCAGGAGACAAAATGGGAGCGGCAGGGAAGCCGGAGCCCGGGCAGCGCAGCACGGGGCCAAGCACCAGGCTGT